TAATTGAGGAAACAAATGATTAAGGAATTGCTTATTTTGTTCCTTGTGTTTCTTTACCCAAAATGAGTTGATATTAATCAGTTGTGCTCCCCTTTTTCAAAGCAATTAAATTGGTTCTCTTCACTGGTTTTTATATTAGGGTTTGAACATGATCAACAGGATGCAAAAAGAAGGTCTACAAGTTTTGGGGTAGATGGAACAGTTGGCTCATCAACATTTTTTTCATCAACTGCACGTGACAGCTTCTGATTCTAGATCAGAAGGGATCAAAGTCAAATGCCAGGCTTCCCATTCCTTGTGAACTCCTTCAGCTTATCCATAGCATCCACTCTTCAAAACTACAAAGGCGGCAGGCTGGCAGGAGGTCAAGAGAAATTCTTCACAACACACCTTCTAAAGCCTTGAAGATATTGAAGAAACTATTGACAAAACCAGAAACATTAAAAATCTTTTTGCCTTACAGTATATGTTCCAAATCACTAAAACAGTTTGCCAGTTTCACATTGTTCAAGTCAATAACAATTCTGACCCATTATAAGCAGCAGAAGAAAATTATTGTCAGCAAATTCTGTTAATTTGGCCAATGAATTTCCACTTTGTTTTCAAATTGGTCCCACGATTCAGAGATTCTCAACAAATTAACAACTAGAAAAGCACCTGTGGCAGCAATCGGCTGCTACCCATCAAACTCACACATGGGGGTGTTCTGTATTTTAAAATAAAATGTTTCTCTGATTATTTTGTTCACATTACCAACTGTGCATCTTAAAGCCAGATTCAGCCATACTGAGTAGATGTTTCCATTAATTTAATTACTTTGTAATTTCCATTTCAATCCTGATACATTTAAAGTAGCCGTCAAACATAATCTCCAGTTTACTCCTGATTGGTAAATTCAATGTGTAAGACTAATGCCATGATATTAATGACACCTTAGTGTTTGTTAGAGATGCTGAGAATTGGTGTTAAAGATTTGCTGTCTTTTCTGTTATACTCTGTGTTACAATAAACAACGGCTTTTGCATCACCCTGAAATTTGTGTTCTTTGACACCCTGTAAATGAATATTGCAACATATTAAAAAAAATATTTGTTTAAACCAGTCCCACAGGCAAATAAATGCTCAGGGGCTCAAGCTATCCTCTACAACATGAGGATGGTTGGAAGGGCTAAATGATGCTATACTCCAGGAGGATGCCATATTTAAGCACCTGCACCACTGCTCTATCTTTTATACCCCGCCTTTGCAAATGTGTTTTATTCCACTGCTGTGTCTCATTACACAAGAACAGCACTACCAGCTGAGTGAGGCAGATGTTCTATTGTAGAGCACGGCAACTCCTCAAGTGGCTAGCATCCATCTGAGTGCCTCTGTTACAGCTGGCAGCCACAGCTGAACCAGGACAATCCATCTCGATGAAGAGAATAGGTCTAGAGTGAGAAAAATGGCGTATGGGAAGGGTTTTACTAAAAAGAATATGGCAACAGGCTGCCCTGCTGCTGTTCCCCAAGGGAAGATGACACACTGTAGATCGGAGGCAGTAGAGAGATCAGGTCAGAGGGCTTTGACACTACTGACACAAAGTGGCAACAAAGTCAGCTTACCAGCACTGAAATGCAAATAAGGGAGTTGGCTTAGCCTGTAGCCCCTGCAGCTAAAGGCTGCTAATGGAAGCATGGAGGCAGGAGGGAGGAAGGGAGAGTATGAGGGCAGCTGGTGGTGAGTATCCAGTAGGTCTGTGTTGGCTTTTGTGGTAGGTAATAAATGCCAGAGTACAGCAGATGCTGCAGGGAAAGCTGAGATGTATCATTGCACCTAAAGCCATGTTCACCGTGTGTTGAGACCTGTCCTCTCCCAAACCTTTTTTCTCAGCATCCTCTAAAGCTGTCCTATGTAACACAATTCAATGTTACCTAACCTTTAAAAACCCCTTCAAGAAGTAGGAAGCATCAAAAACTCATAAGGGATTTTAATTATCTTGGCTTGTGAAACTCGATCTATCGAAATAAAAGACAAAAATATATATATATATAAAATAATATATAATCAGTTATCATCAGAGGAGAATACAATACAATAAGATGCATACAAATTTGTAAAATATATTAGATATAATATCACAATTTAATTTGCTTCACTCAACTGTGTCATTATTCATTTGGAGCATTTTGTAGTCATCTGGCTTTTTTTACTGCCCAGATGTGATCCTTCCTGCTCCAGCCCCATCACGCTGGCTGATCACGCTCGGCTCACTAATCACTAAACAGTGAAAACATCTCCTGTTCTGGTTTGCTAACATACTAGAGATGAGAGGTCAGTACTGCCATTGTATGACAATCGAATATGCAGTGTGCTGTGAGCATGACGGATTGATTGATTAAAAAACTGTGGGGTGATCCGTTGTCTAACTGACACCAATTACAGTTGGGTCCACTGCAGGCTGTCACAGCCACAGGCAGCCAAAGCAAGGTCCCAGGGTTTCACAGTCAAGGATGTGTTTCATAAACAGTTGGGTGACAGTTTGGTGCTGGTGGGACTTTGAATCATCACTTACAGGATTGACCTGCCACCCTCCAAGAGGTTGGAAAGGGGCAAGAAAATCACGCTGGAGCTGTCGCCACCAAGTGATGTGAATAGGCTTTGAGTGTCTGACGTGATGCGGATGCACAAAAGCTCTTCTGGGCTTACTTATGCAGATGCTCACACACAGCGCTGTAATATTGGGCTGCAGCCTCCTGTTCTTGTGTATCACAATGAAGGAACCAAACATTGCCACAATTTTAATGCCATCTTTTAGAAATGGGGCTGGTCCGATCCAGTATCGGTACGATACCAGCATAATTCACGTATCAGATTTTCCCGATCCAACCTGCGGAGATATCCGATATCCATGAGCCATGTCTGCGCTTTAACGTTGTCTGCTGAAATGACTCCACAAGTCTGCTAGCTGGCTGCAAACTGTTGAATGGTTTTCCTGAACGGAGGCGAGGCTCAATGAGACACAGAGTTATGAGACACGCCCCCGCTCAGGAAAATCCATTCCGCAATTTGCAGCCAGCTAGCAAAGCCGTGATTCAGAGAGGCGGAAGCTCCCTCGCGTTGTACAACACTACGAACGCAATCAATCATTTAAAAAAGCACCACACAAAAGAGCACAAGGATTTTGGGGTCAAAATGAGAACCACCACTTGATTGTTAAAGTAGTATTACAGTTCTTACACGATACAGGGCTATATATGAAAATTTGAAGCAGTAACATTATCCTTAGAGTGACTTCCTGAGGAGGGCAGTAATACGCCTAGAAGCGTCTAAACTGCCGGAAATCTATATGAAGAAGAAGAGCAGGGGCAGAAAGACAAAAGGAGCTGTCAGGAATCACTTCTGGAGTCATTCTAAAAACAAGGTAAACTCCAGGCAGACAACGTGAAAGCTGAAGGGATTAGTGTGTGTGTGTGTGTGTGTGTGTGTGTGTGTGTGTGTGTGTGTGTGTGTGTGTGTAAGATGTTTACACTTATTACACTTTTCTTATTTTTCAATTATTTGACATTTTGGGAATTTAATAAATATTGACATGACAATAAATTTGAAACCCTTACAGTTGCATATTTGTTTTCAGGATGGGATTTTTCCTGTTAACAGGATTTCCTGTTTTCTGACTTCCTTTTCTGATCTTATACTTACCTCAAGTTGCCCTTTGGGACATACATGCATACATAAGTATATATCATACTTGCCTGTTGAGGAGTTTATTTCAGCCTCATAAAATCAACAATAATGATAATAATATCAAAGCAAACGGAGCTCTGGTATCGGAATAGTATCGGTATCTGCTGATATCCAAATTCAGGTATCGGGATCGGATCGGAAGTGAAAAAATGTGGATCAGTGCATCCCTACCATCTTTAAAAGAATTTATTTTTTAACAAAACTTAATTATGGACATTCATTATAGTTAACCAAAATATAGTCCTCTTCAAAGACTTCTGGTTCATTTTGTTGTAAATTTCTTTACCATCACATTTGATTTCAGTTTTGTTAAAAATATTAACCATTTTGTATGACATGGTAAAAGATTGTATAAATTTTCTGATCCTGTGTTCTTTTCATGCGTATTGTACTGCATACCAATAATGATAATATTTTAGTAACTGCGTTGAATATGCTTTCCAACAACTCTAGCACTGTTACATACTGGATATTGTGATAAGACATTTATTGTACAATATAGATTCTATACAAAAAATTACGGTATTTGTGTAAAAAACTAAATTAAAACAAATAACGGAAAGGTTGAGCACCACTGATAAGTCATTGTAGCATGCAGAGTCTATCTATCTATTTTAAACGGCATAGCTTTACTACTTTTTACTGTTTTAGCTGCCCAGAATCCTCTAACATGATGCTGCTCAGCCAATCAAAACTGAACTGCAACTCGAGCGAGTGAGATATACACACAGCCTGTGTGACACAGGGGAGACAAGATGTGATACAGTCTGAGAAAAAAGCAAATGAAGAAAGATTTCACGATTTCAATACTGTGAGGGGAGACCCCATCAGTGCTAAAGGCCATTCATCAAATCACTCTGAAAGTGATCCCAACGATATCGTTCTCCACTGTCATCGTTATAGTTGTTGTACTATTGTTTATTTTACTATTGTTTAGTTTTATTTTAACTGTTGTATTTTATTACTTGCACTCTAACAAGATCAGCTTCCCACAGAGACTAATACTAACTAATTCAATAAGCACTGTGGATTGTTCCAGGTGTCTTTGGATACTAGAAGAATTTATCTGGGTCCTTGAGTGGGTCACGGACAGGCTGATCAACAGACACCCAGCTTTGTGACGATGCCAGTGCTAGAGGGCAGGCAAGACAGAGACGTTTATGTGTGCTGATGGAGAGCTGATGCCAGGTGTCATGGCCAATTGGGAGCAAAGGATCTTTTGAGGACAGAGGCGCCTTAGTCTGTCTGAGGAGGGCTGGCAATGTCCAACTCACCTGATGCGGGCATGGAGTCGCTGGGAAAGCTCAGGTCGTCCTCGGCTACCCAGGAGAAGCTCCAGTACCCTCTAGGAATTCCGGCAATGGTCCTACCAGCCAATTGTTCACCTGCAAAAACAGCAAATCCACATCTTACTTTCAGAGCATGTGCTGCACAGGCTTAAAACCATAATTAAAACTTAAAGGTGTTTAATTGCTTGCTTTGTTTATTTGGGCTGGCTGGTTGCCATCGATTTGGCATCCATGTAGTAGTCCAACTCATTCATGGCTCCAGTATTACAGTCTGTAAATGTTGTGTGAGCTTACTGAAACCACTTATTATAACGCAGAGCCCGTCCCACTGGTGTACTAACGAGTAGACGAGGTGAAACCCTTGTAAAGCTTCATAGGGCTTTTATCTGAATGGAGAGTGACAAAGTAATAGTTCAGCCGTGATAAGAATTTTTGCAGTTGCATTGAAATATGGTGTGTGGTATTTCAACTTATTTCTCAATTTAATAAAAAAAACCTTATCAACTTCAGCATTTTTATGTCAATGAAATGTCTACAGTATTGCTACTGCAGATTAATAGCTGTAAGACTTGAGCAGTGACACAATGAAGTTGAGCCATAGTTTAAAAAAAAAAGTCCAGGGGCCTGTATGAATTGGTTATTGGATATCGATGGGCTGCATAATTACCTGAGGACAGGTTTGTCTAATTATGTTTGACTCTGTCCTCACCTTCTAAACTCAGACTAATTATCACAAGATCGAACAGGAGTCTATTACTGTAAAGTAGATGCAACAACTTTCTCTTATACTTCTGTACCCCACCTCCCCACACTGCCATCACACACACGCCATCTCTCTCACTTTGTCCTTAGTCCATGGATAATTAGTACACAGTCACAGACCAATACACCACTGCCTAGGAAGGAGACTCCTGCATAAATCCTGCACTCATTTCAAATGAGCCTTAAAGAGCGATTCATCACAAATGCTGCCTTTCAGGGCGCTGAACAGACCACATTTTGGTTTCCTCCAAAGCACACACACACACACAAACACTATTCAGAGTTTATTCTTCCTTAGCATGACTTCCATTGACACATACACCAGATGACCTGAAGAGGAGTTTAGGTTTAGGTACATTAATCCATATCAGAATTATGTTAGACTAATTGTAAATTAGTTGCATTTTTAATGCTACAAGTATTGGCATACAATTAAGAGATATAGTGTAGTAGTGTTATTATCCAAGGTCTTAAATTTTCTCTGCTAGCAATTCACTTCTAAATCCCTTATGTCTGTTTTATCACAGCAGAGCTCTACAGTTTGCTGACATTCTTGAGATATACAAATGCTTTTAGCAAGCATATAGGCATGGTAAGATATCAAGTCACACAACTGATACATGTGAACTCTGCACTATTAATTATTAAAAATATCCACACAGTAGTTGTTCCAAATGAGAGGAAGTTTACCTTGTTTGAAAATCATTTAAACCTTTACAAAAGGACGGTGGCCTGCTTTTGGTATTACACTGTGACAATGACAGCTTGTGTTGTTTTAAGCCTTAATGGAAAGGCTAATAACAAAATGACATCAAGATGGAAAAAGGGTCGAGCACAGTATCAGGCTTTTATTCCCAAGTCAACAGGAATGGATAATGTGACATTGTCTCAGTGCAGTTGTAACGCACCTATATAAAAGGACAAAATAGATGCGAACAAAATAAAGTATTTATCAGGGTGAAAAGAAAAGTACCAATAACTCATAAATAAAAATGGTTTACAGAACTCAAGTGTAAGAAAATGAATGAAAATGGGTTACAGTACTGATTAGCCCTGTTAATTTGACTGTGTGTCTGGAAAGGACAGTTCTTTTACAATCAGGCAAAAAGATCAGGAATTGTTGCCTGAGTTGGAAGAGATGGTCTGGGCCTGGATGAGCCTGTCTCCTCTCAAAGGTGAACATCACCACATGCTGCTGTGACCCTTCTTTTCCCCATTGATGGGCCAGGCCAGAGCAGCTGATTGTGGCCTGGTCTGGGGTCAACAGCTGTTGCTACAGGGAAAACTGGCTGACTGCTTGGTTATTGCATGAGCTAGCAGGCTGCTGCTAGAGCTGACTTTCAGACAAACTGATAAGCTTCTGGGGGAGCTGACTGGCTGGCTGACCTACCGCCTGTTGGGAGAGGTGGCTTGCTTTCTGACTGACTGACAGATGGGCTGACAAGCTATCTGGCTAAGTTGCCTATCATGGGCGTGGTATTTCTGACTGTTTGTAGGCAAGGCTGGCAATATGTCCTGATATTTCATAATTATGCCCTGTAGTCTGAACAGGTCAAGGAGACCTGAGACAGGCATTTAGCCCCATGGCTGCCTTTAGAGGCACTTTCCCACGATTCTTTTTTCACCCCTCATGTAAATGACATGTGAATTGGTACTGTGCCAGTAGTGGTGCACATATTGTATTAGGCTACTGTGAAAAAGATGGAGCTGAGCATGCTAATCTGCTAATAAAAGTAATTTCAGTATGACAAATTAAATAACCTATACATTTATTAATACATTCAGCTCAAACTAATTTATTGGTTATATTCAACTTCAATTAACAAAATGGTTGTTGCATGAGCTCACACCAATTCCACCTGCTAGTCATAGATCCAAACTGCCAAACAGGAAGTTAAAGTATCCAGTGGGCTTTTTAGCAGAGAGAACTCAGACTGTACCATGCTGAGTACAGAGCTTTGGGGGGTTCAAAGTTTCAGGGAATAGTACCCTAAAACAGTTATACTGTTAGTTATTCCATTTTAGGACAATTAGAATAATGAATAGAAATTGTTTTTACATAAAATGTTATTTGAATGTATTAATTGATTGAACTTTAGTTTGAGGGAAGACCTTTCTGTTTCAAAGTGAGGTGTAAAAGCTCCTCTTTTATACCAAAACCAGCCTGCTCACTGCTGATGACAAAGAACATTCAAATTAAACTAAATAAAAACTAAGTACAGTAAGTGCAGGTTAGTGGTCAATACACTATTAATAGACCCAGTGAGTTACCCTTTTCTTTAAGGCAAAGCTACCCTGATGTTTACCACAGTTATACTAACTTATCACAAGCCCTGGAAAAGTGAATATGTACACCTTTCATCTCACTGTTGAGCTTTTGAAAAGTTGATGGATATTCTGTCTCTCATTTGATGAACCAACAGGCCATGGAGAAAGAAGTAGTTGGGACATGGCTAACACAACCTTACATGTATCATGTACGATGAGTAAGAGGCAGTTATGCATCAAATCTGACAAATCAGTATTGTGCTAGCATTTTTGTAAAAGTATAATGGTATAAAACAATTCTATTTCATTTTCTACAAATAAAAATGTGAAATGTGCAAATAAGAACAGTCTTCTTATTTTGGCTGAATTTTCCCTTTGGCAGTGGAAATGAATGTGATGTAATAAAGCCCTACCCTAATCCAAGTTTGTTTTCACAAGCTGATTCCAAATATGAACGTCTTTTTTATATGCTAAGCTAAGCTCGATTTTCTCTGCCTATTGAAATCTGGAGTGTTGCCAACTAAGTTCTACAGTTTGAGCTAAGCTCCAATTAACCAAAAGTAATAATAATGGAAATCACAGGAATTGATTGGAATTTCATCTAGTAGGAAAAAACAGGGGTGTCATATAAATAATTTGAAGATTGGTGTGGAAGATTCTTGTTTCCACAGCCGAATCCAATTTATTAATCAAATCCCAGCTCATTTAGATGTGTTGTGACAATTCAGAAATCAGACAAAAATGTCTAATACATCCAGCAGTTGAGAAATTGTGAGCTTATTTTAAGAAAGGTTTTATAAATAAGGGGAGGTGCATCGTTAATGATCCAGACACGTCTCACAACACACCTCCCTGTCAAAGACCACCCTAAAGGGGACAGTAGAAGGTAAACAATGATGAGGCAGGCGGAGGAAATCCTGACTACACAACATCAAGGAATGGACTGGCTGCAGCTCCACAACCCTGACACGCACAGCAGAAGGAGAGCTGTGAGATCCCCGACTGCCTAAGCAGGCCAACCCTACAGCCCCAAGGTCATGGGATGAGTGAGTGAGTGAGTGAGTGAGTGAGTGAGTGAGTGAGTGAAAGCATCTTTAAATATTTTGCAGTGTTAAAAGATAACACGGAAACACAACTTTACATAACAATTATAAATTATTTATCAGTTTAGTTTGACTCTGTGGCCTGCACCAATAAACATTCTAGCTGTAATAATGTCATTCAAAATGTATTCATGGACAATGTTATTTTTGGTAACCCTGTCACTCACACTAGGTATGAGCATAACAAACCCATACACTCCTGTAGCCAGCATTCCTTGTATAATTCACCACTACAGAGGAGAGGTATCTCAGCTCAGTGAACAGTCTAATTCTGTCCCACCCACACTCTGAAATCCTTCAAATGCTTAGTGGATTAATCAATGAGGCTTGACTCAAACCGTCATTTAAACATGGCTATTCATGAACATACATCTCTCTCAGTCTAGTACATCCGTCTGTCTCTTTTTGACCCTCAATCATTCAAATGTCCATATCCACGTCTTTTGTTTTAGTGAGATGGAAGTGGATAGTTCCAAAGGCAGAATCCTTCAAAATGTGGAGCACTTAAGCACAAGGGGAAGACACACAGAACAGCTCACAAGGTAGGAGAAGAGTGAACACTTTTAAGGGGACAGTACTATACATGCTGTATGTGGTGCTTGTGGGCTTTGTTTCACAATAGTGCAATGATCCAGAAATGAAGCCAATTACCCATGAAAAGGGTTGGGAGGATAAGAGTACAGGTAGTGGATCTGTAGATCTATGCAAGGTGTGGCAGCTGGCAGGGTCTTCACTGGAATCATGGATTCTGCAAATTTTGCAGTCCAGTTAAACAGACATTTCTAATTTGTTGGTCATAGGAGCTTGCCTTGCGTTTATGAGCCTTGCTTTAGTGAGAAGATCAAGCTTAACAAAGACGCTTAGACTATCAAGCATTTCCAGCTAATTAAAAAGGGAAATGAGGAAGCCATCCATTTACGCTGTTTGATTTTCATACTCCTTGGCTTCCTGCATGACAATTGT